AAAAGAGTTTATTTCAGGGACAGGTGACATCAGGACTCACGTCTTTGACAAGGGAAGTAGTGTGAAAATGTCAGCACCACTCCCTCTCTTCCCTCTTAGCACAGAAAGATGGGGCTGGTTCTCAGTTTGTTATCTTTATATTTAGCATTACTCCAAGTAGTGAGCTAGAGGGGATGGAAACACAATCTACTCATTTTCATTTCTGTGTTGCCAGTTTGAATTAGGACCAGGCTGATATTGGCCCAGCCTTATTACTATTTGCTTAGTACTTTGTGACCTCTTGATATGGTTTTGTTGCCTCTCATCCATTAGCTTGTGGACCACAGTGTCCACAGCACAAAAGGCCCCGTCACTCTTCTTGGCCATCTTCACTCCTCACGGCCATCTTGGGCTGGGAGCCAATGGCATGGGCACAAAAGATAAACTGTCTTTTTTTATTTCCAAACACATACTTCTGCATTGTAGCATGACTGTTACAGAAAAAGCTTGCATTTCAATAAACTGTCCTTGTTTGGGATTTTTGCTTTGTTTTGCAAGTGCTTTTTATGGATGCTTATATGTCATGACCCAGCACCTATCACAAGCACTTAATTCTAGCACAAAGGACTTTTAAAAAGTATATTTATAGAAACTGCTAGTAGGAAGCCCAACGTTCCTGAAGAATGTTACTCTCTTCAGTTTTACATGCTACCTTCACTTTGTGGGTTTTGCTTCTCAAAATCTATCTGGCTGCAAGGAGTCATCTTAAATGGAAGTGACACAGCGAAAGCTACTTTGATAGCCTGCAGATTTAAAAATAGCTGTCTTAACATAGTTTTTGCTTCCAAGGTAGAATGTACCTTCAGTTGGAAAACATGTGTGCACATTATTAATGCAGGGTCTCTTTTCCATAGTTCTGTCTTAAAGTGAGTCATCTGCTCTCTGGCTCTGTATATCTGCATGAAAATAGGTGGGAATCATCTTGGTTTCTGAAATTCTCTCTTATACATTGACTGAAAATCTGTGGTGGTTATTTTAAAATGTTTCCCCTTCTCCAGACAAGGTAGGAACATAGAGCAACAAAAGTAATGTTGGATGTTCTGCCTGAACCAGTGATGTAGCTATAAAATGCTGGGTGTTGGTTAATCTGGTGGAATGCTAATCCACTTTCAGACTGGCCTCAGAACTGGGCCAATTTTATCAGAAGAGTTTATTGTTTCAAGAAGTAAAAATAGATTGAAGGGACCATAATTTGGAATATCTCAGTTGTTTATCTCAGAGCCATATGAATCAGTATCAGCTGAGCACCTGACTTGTGGAGATCAGCTCCTCATAAAAGAAAACTGTAGTTTTCATTTGAAAAGAAAAAAGTTCTTGGATTATTTCTTAGAATTTTGGGGCAAAGCTTTCAAAACTGGAAAAAAATTTCCACTTTTTCTAACCTCAATGTTGTCTTTATTTCCCATACTAAACCCAGAACTAGACTATTTCTAATGACACACTCACTGTTTACTGGAACTGTGAATAATCCTAGCAATCAGAATGTATAAAGTCACGTGCCTTTACTCCATGCCAGCTCAATCAAAAATTCCTGAGGATAGGTCTACTGCTTTAGCTGTAACTCCTTCTGGACCCCACACACGTCATGTTGATTTGTAAGTGACAAATACGTGATCTTGTGTAATCAGTGGTCAATGGAAAGGGTGACATTATTTGAAGAGACTGGAAGGTAGAGTTCCCATGGGACAACTTAATGACAGAAGTGGGAGACTTCTGTGACTTAGACCACAGTGATGTGACAGTACTGCTACATGTTTTAGTGGGAGAAGAAAAAGACTGAAAGTACCATACAGCAAAACTAGCAAGCATGTGTATTCATGTGTCATTCCTAAGATTTTAAAGATGAGGTCTGACAAACTAAAATATAGTTTCCACAGGCAAGGCTGATGAAGAGCAAGATTGCTCAACGCTTACACAAGTGAACCTGTGTAAGCTAACTCCTGCTCTCTGAATAAGAACTTCTCTACTAAAGGAATTAAGGAAACCATTGAGCCAGCTCAACTGATTTGCAAACTAGTGTTGAAAGAATTACAGAAATTACTTGCGAGACCATGAGGGTAGCAGGGAGGCAAGTTTGTCTTTCTCTTGGATGGTAACAAAAAGAACTTCATGTCTTGTGTCCTTACCTCCTCCAATTTCCCTTTTTTTGTCTTCATAGTTCAGAAAATCACATTATGTTTGTTTATTCATTTATGGTTAAGGCAATAAAGATTCCTTCCAAACTCTTGGTTGCCCTAACTTAATTATACTGTAAGTATAATTAAACCACGGTAGTGTTGAGGATGTCTGTTCCTTGGGCACTCTTCCAGCTGAGTAACCACCATATACCTTTTTCATTATCTGGGAAGCTTCCTTATCAGCCTTCTCCAGAAGGTGTCAAAAAGGTATCTGTAAGTTGTTGCTAAATCTAAGTTAATTTAGAGCAGGAAATTAAATGTTAGCACTCATAACACTCTATTCTCTTTTTTCTTTCTTCTTTTTGTTTTTGTTTGCCTTTTTTTTGGTTTTGTTGTTTTTTTTTTCTTTCAGAAAAAACCACTGTGTGCTGGTAACATATGTCCTATCCTAAGGTCAGTAGCAGCCCAGGAAGACGGCTAATTACTCAGATCTGAGTCTTTCACACCTCCCAGTCAGAGATGATGATAGTTGTGTGTACCAGCATCCATTTCTGAAATCTTTTAGAGTGTATGCTTTTGTAGGAAGAGGACAATGATAAATTTATTTTTAAATAGAAAAAGTGCATATTACTTATCTAAAAGGAAGAGCCACAACCTCACAGTAGGTCCAGGTGGTACAAAAGTGGCTGGAGCTTTGTTATAAGATCACCAATCAGTGGAGAGCCTAAAAGCAAATTTTAGTACCAGGTCTTATACATCCTCTTGGAGTCAAAGGAGATGACAATATGGCTGCATTTCTCCTCCTGCTTTATCTGGAGCCCACTGTCCCACTCACTCTTGTCAGGTGTTAAGCTTCAGATGGCTGAGTCTTGGCCATCCTCCAGGCTTCACCCTGTGTTCTGAAATGCTGAAATGCCTACATTACCAGCATTCAGTTGTCTGTCGTCAGCTTACAATGGCACAGTCCATGTCTCCTACCAGCCGCGTCAGCACCAAACGTGGTGACAGAATGGAGCCCTAGAGACACCCTGCTTAAAGAGCTTGAGGTAGGACCTGTAAAAACTCCTGAGAGGAGTAAATGCCTTGTGCCTTTATAACAGAAAAAAAAGAGAAAAAAACAGCGCCTAGAACAGTAGTAGCTGGTCAGCAACGCCTCATGGTCCTATGTAGCAAAGGTACCCCATAAATCTAATAATATCTTGTGGTTAGATCATTGTTATCTTTTTTCCTGAGATCCTGCTCACATGTTTTACGGACATCAGTCAAGTACTGCTGTGTCCTTGGACTTCCAGCAACAAGCCACCAATAAATGCAGGTAGCACCGTAAACCAGAACGTAGTCCAGTTCTCTTCCAGTGGCAGCATTTTGAGCTGTGTTTCAGCAGTCTGGCATTGTTTGGCTCTGCCCTTTTGATTCTGCTGCTGCTCTAGTATCCACAGAGCCCATTTGGACCTCTGCAGCTGCCTTCACCGTTCCGTTACGCCCTGCAGCCGAAAACAGCCCCAACCTGCCTGCTCCAGCCTGACCTCGCTGTGGGTGCTCATGTGGCTAATGCATATTTCTGCAGCACTACACTAGGCCATATTGCCATATCTGCCTGTACTGAGGGATGCTATAGAAATACTTGCTTGGCCTTTCCTTGTTCTCTGAGGCTGTACATTTGTGTTGTGCTCATGATTAAACCCAGCCTCTCATTCTCCATTGAATTCCCCCCCCCCCCCGACCCCTCAGGGAGTGTGGCAAAAGCATGCTTTGCAATGAGCTACCCTGATTTGCCACTTTATGACAGCTTTACAAAATTCTGCGGCCATCTTCATCTGGGATATGAGCTGTGTTACAATATGATTAAACTCTTGTCTTTCTCTCATCGCTCAGATCAAGACAGATGATGAAATCAAAGCTTTTGCTCCCTGGCTGGCAAATTTTTCCCACCTATGGCAAAGCTGCATTTGAAATTTCCTTTTACTGTTTATTGCTTGTAGGAAGAGTTTTTGGCAAGTCAGAGTAAAAACTATTTTTAAAGTACTGTGCCTATCTGTTTAGAGAATAAAGTCACTATGAATTAACTGTTAAGGAGTCTGCACAGGTTGGAATTTGAGACCCAAAACCAGGTCTACAAGTGCTGTGTGAATCAATTAAAAACTGAGATTTTAAAAAAGGGGCAAAAGAGGTAGACTTATTCTAGTGAGGCAAACAGGGAAAGAAATAGGTCCTCTGGTACTGCCTAGAGAAGATAAAGAGCTTCATGGCTCACACTTTACTATCTTTTCAGTAATTGAAATGAAGTGCCTGAAAGACTTAAGTTCTTGTGACTTGCTTTACAAAACACCCTCCTTTTCTAATGTTTATCTTACAGTAGCGTTGGTCTACTAAAAATGCACTAATTAATTTCTTCCTGAAGTTAATGCAGTCCTTCTAAGGTTATTCCTGTTGTCCCTGAGAAATAAAATTTAAAAAAATAATAATTCAGGACATTGGGTTTCTGTATCGCAGTTTGCAAAAGTAAGAGATTAGAGGAATGGTGATGCTACTGAAAATCTTTCCACTCCCACGACTGTCTGAATCTTGAAAGAAAAAAAGAAAAAAAACAACAACAAAACCCTAGACCTTAAATTGTAACCTAATCATCTTGATCAGAGCAATAAATAAAACAAATGTGAGGCAAGTATGCGTGTGAGAGTGCAGGACAGAGAAAGGTTTAGGGCAAGGATCAGTGGAAAATCTTTAGAAATGATGTAAGAGAAAGCAAAGGCAGGGATTGGAGTTTGTAGCCTACAGCAGAGACTATAAAAACTCTGAAAGAAAGCTGAACATTAGGGATAAGTTAGGGGGAAGAACATAGCAGGACCATTAAGGTTGGAATTGCTTGTATCCAATGCAAGGTAAGAGGAGTGAGGACAGGGATGGGTTGGGGATGTTTTGTGTGTCTTCTGCTCTGTTTACAGAAGCTTTCTTCCCTTCTGTGCTTTCTTCCTTTTAATTTTTTTCAAGTTTTTTTGTATTAACAGGCATGCACAAGGTATACATATGCCCATGTCTGAAAAGGTTCTAGTTTGGGATTAAGATAAGGTGCCTATCACCTAGTATTTTTGGTACTAAAACTGAACTAATAATATTCAGTGGAAACTTATTTCCTTCAGCTAATCAGCCAATATTTAAACAAGATGTGTCAGTGCATTTTACAACAGTGAATAGTTGCTTTCATGCTTTTGCAGTGCTTTGCAGTAAACTGCTGTCTGGTTATATTGTTATGGATTTTCCTCTGTATATATTATTGTCAAATACATATTACTTCTTAAAATAAGCTGAAGAGCTATGACAGAATAACTCCTTTGCATTACTAAATACCATATGTGGTAGACAAGTTTGCTGCATGTAATATATTGTAAAACACAAGATAAATGATTTAGGGAAAGTCTTTAATTTATGGATCTGCAAAAGGGTTTTATTATATCCCATATTAGATAAATGTTGATGCCCATTCTGCCACATTCCTGCAATAATAGAATAACCCTGCAAAAACATTCCTACACTAACAGAGTAATTATCATTATCCAGTAATCTGACTACTTCAGCTTTGTACCACTGTAAATGAAGGCAGACTCTGATTCAGTGATAGTCATTGCAATTTCTCCATTCTGAGTTCAAAACTATTTCACTCTTTCTTTTTGCCTCCCAGACTGGAGTTGTACAAGTAAATACATGTGAATAACCTTTGGTTTAGATGTCTAGAGGCTACAGCAAAGTTCAGAATCCACTAATTCTTGAAGCACAAGCACACAGTGCCTTCAGCTTTCCTTACTTGGCTTTTCAATTTGGAATGACTGTCCTCTCATGGGGAATGCAGAGCTGAAAGCTGAGGAGCTGCGGGAACATTTTGTGCCCCTGCCCACTGATTCACTCAGGAAGCCTGGGGCAAATTATTACATTTATCTGTCTCTGCTCACCTGTATTCAAAATGCAGCTCAACCTACTTTTCTTGTAAAATACTTTGAATCTAATGAGAAATAACAGGAAAAAAACCCAAAACCCCAAAATCCAACCAAGAACATCTGTGGTGTAAATTGTAAATGATGGGAAAACTGCAAAATGTATCTGGCTGGACCAGGTGTTCTTCAGTATTTATAAATACCTGCCACACTGATTTCAGCAGATTAGGAATTCTTTTTCACTCTTTGAATGAATGACAAGTGTACCTCTGTGGGCTTCTTAAAAAGCAAATTAAAAAATTTGAACCATACAACAGTTGTAATAGCTCTCTTGATTGACCCTGACAAAGATTGCAAGTGATTGCAGCTTTCCTTTTCTTCTTAGTCAGCCCACAGAAGCAGATTACTCTCTAATTTCCATTTGCAATGCATCTTCACCAAGACTTTTCTTCTTCAAGTAATATGCTTGATCGGAACATTTAAGTGTTTATCCAGTAAATCAGCATCAGTGTTTGAGTCTCATTAAGAAGTTCCAATGCCATTCTTGTCTCTTATCTTGAAGTTTATCTTCAAGCTTATCTTGAAGGCATATCTTGAAGGATATTTTTACTAGACTTTAAATGGCCTATGTTTTTATATTGATAACATATTCTGCTAATATACTCTTCATATGAGGTATGAACTTCCATTTATCACTCCAACACTGTTAGGAAAGGAGATAATTTTTCTAATATAGAAAACCACAATTTATTTCTAGATTTTTTTGACAGAAAGGTTTCTTAAATGCTGAACATGGCAGTCTAACAATGAATAGTTTTTATTTCTCATGCTAAAGATGAAGGAAGAAAGCAAGCTAAATGTAAAGTTGTTAGAAACGTTAAGAGAAGTTGGCATATTCAGTCAGTACATATATAAATAGTGTAGGGCTGAGAGTTTGTTGGCAATGAATAATAGTCTAATAATGTTTTGTTTTCCATTGTGCATACCAGGAATACTGCAGCTTCGTCAATTATCTTACTTAGGAAGGGTGCAAATAGGTTCTTCCCATTAAGAGATATTTTCTTACACTTCATAGCATCCTTCTTATTTAATAGTCCCTAGGCTTCTGGATGGGTTTTATCACTTCTGTTTGTGTCTTCTGCTTCATGGTCTCCTACTTTTATGGTATTGATGTGAGTTTGGGGGTTTTAATTTCTAAAATCTATTGCTAAAAATGGATTTATTACACAGTATAGCCAGTTTTGCAAGATGTCCAACTTGTCTCCTTCCTGTCCATTCTAAGAAAAAGTGTCCTCATTTGTTCTGCATGGCCACTTGGTTTCATGCTCCTCATTCAAACGCAGAGATGAGGACCATGACTGACTGGTCTTCCACAAGTCTTTTTCCACCTTTGCCCATTAATTTTTTCCTGATTCATGCTTGTGTCCATTAAGCAAATGTACCCCAGCAAGGCTGTGTTCATTTGTACACTTTCTGAACTCCGCATGGGAACTCGAGGGCCATGTTTTCAGCCTTTCTTCATATGAGCCATGCAATTTGTGTGCTGCTCCCACAAATGTTGCATCTTCCATGGGCAGGGTCAGTGCAGAGTCTAGTCAAGCCCTGCAGGGACTAAGCCATCGCTGAATCTGTTTTATCTGAGTACAGATGGTAGGAACAGTTGTATACCTGAGCATCCTCTGACCGCATCTGCGTCTACCAAAAGTGGAGCTATCAGTAGCTGAGTCAGCATTTACAATAGATACTTCAGTAAAATACAGGCAAAGATGACTATCATGGTGATATGTAAACATGTCAGGGCCAAACACTGGAAATCATATTATTACAGTGAATGCAGTTATTGGAGTGATGACTTTGAAAAGCAATGACTAACCTGAAGTGCCTTCTTGAGAAATCTTTAAGGAACTTCATTTTCAGAAAGTGGAACATCCTTGGCCTTGAAATACTGTCTGACAAAATGTTTCATTTGGGACACAGAAATACCTAGGCATTATCTCAAATCACTAGTCGTATGCCTCTTGCATAAGTTCATGAATTTTCTGTTCTCTCTGGTTACATCAGATGAAACCTACCTGCATCCATTTATCTACATAGTTGGGAAACTGAAAATACAGGGAAATTTACATTGTAGAAGTTGACAGTGTCTGTACCGTATATTGTATATCTAATAAAACATATGGCATTGTTTAAAAATCTACACCTGCTCCAGGAAACACGTTATTAATGACATGAAGTGCCTGACACTGACTGCTTATGTTTTATTTTGCCACAAAGTCCCATGCTTCAATATCTTGCTTCAGTATCTTTTTAGAAAGCAGTATGTACGAAGTGCTCCATATCTCATCTGTGGGATGAGAACAAAAACACCACTTTAACCTATTTTTGGACTCTGCTTTTTTTTCTGAGGGTGGGATTTGTTTTGATTTTTCTTCCTTTTCTTTGATATTTACATGACTAGAAAATTACACTTAAGATATACACAGTCCCTGAGGAGTTTCTGAAATCACTAGGACTTTTGGTATGGGCATATTTTTGGCTTTGTGGTAATGAATATGCTCAGAGGATCCATCCTACAACTTTTAAAAGTAGGGCAAATTTGTTTCAGCTGGAGCAGACTTATTCTCAGAGCTGCACACAAGCAATTTGTAAGTTGTTCTTTTGGTAAGATACTCATCCATCATAATTTTTTTGGCCAAGGTAGATTCCCATCAGGTGTCCAATCCAAGACTCATGAAGCCAACATTAGGACTCAATGGTACGTTTATTAAGATAGGTAGCAGCAGTTAATGTTCTATTTTATGGCGCTGGAGCAGCAACAAAATACCTCAGTAACTGGCTTGCAGACACAGCTGTGATTTCCCCTGGCTGGTTGTAATCTGCATGGTATGATGATCCTCACGGCTACCAGGTGAGGGAGGCTTACCAGTACCATCCCAGTGCTCATGTGGCAGAAGGACTGGAGCCCTAATGGGCACCGTCAGGAGCTTCCCGGTGCCTACGGGACACTCATGCCTTGGCTCTGTATCAGGTCAGCTTGGGAGCATACAGCACAAAACCTCAAGGGCTTCTGGGCTCAGACACAACGTGCTTGTTGTGAGAGCAAGGTCCTCGTTTCATTTGCAGGTGAGCTTGGGCATGTCCCATGTTGGTGTTGCAATAACAAGCAGAGCATAGTCATCAATATAGAGTGGCAGCTGCAGTGAAAGATTACAGTGCAAGGCGTGATGTCTTGCCTCGGTTCTCTTGCTAACAGGCCAGCAAGAAAAATAAAGCTCTTGTGATTTATACTTGCGGAGTAATCTCCACAGTAATGTGAAATATGATAGTTCAAATGGGTAAGAACAATGACAGCTGTTACCATTTTTGACAGGCAATGGGTTTGGAGCTTGGTGATGAATTGTATGCTGTCTGGGGTTTGTTCAGCCCACTTATCTTCAGGATGTCATTTTGTTTTTTGTTTTTTTCTTTAAAAGAAAAACATCTTTTAAGTCCTTTGGTTTGATGTTGGAGACTTAACAGTTTCTGTTTGGTAAAGAATTTTGCTTTCTTGTGATCTTTTCTTGGAAAATGGCTCTGCACAGGCTCCTAAGAAAAAGTTTTGAATGTTTATCCTGCTTTGATAAGGTAGAATAACGTTCTCTCTTTTATCTTTAATTTTATTTTAACTGGACCTGCAACAAAGATACCTAATTATATGAGGAATTCTAGTTTTGACACATTTCAAGGTGAAATGTCACTAAAACATATTTATATGTCTGAATTTCAGACTTGCAATTACATTTAGTGGAGGGTAAACCATATTTTATGTCAGATAACACCAGACTAGACCCTGAGATACTAAAGACCTGTAATTATACCTCAATCCCCTGTCCTACCTCTGTGAAACTGGTGGTGGAGTTTTCCAGAGGAAGGATGGAAATTCAGTACAAGTGGTAAGGGTGCGTCTTGCAAAGGCTTGTGTGGTTGTCAGAGCATTGCTTATTGTCCTTCAGTAACAAATACTGTCAAGTCTCGCTTTAGGTCCCTCTTGGAATGGGTCAGGGTAAAATGTGAATGGGGTGAAGCAATAAGCAGTGCATGGCTGGGAAAGCCCCTTTTAGTAGGAGGGCTCTGCTTACCCAATTGCAACAGATGAGCGAAGGAGAAAAAGCAACAACTGCTTTTAACAGCTAAGACCCTATGACATGGCTGAATGTAGAAAGCTAAGTCCCAGACTGGCAGAAGACAGTGTGATTTTAATTATGTTTACGTAGCCCTCTTTGCACCCTTAATTTTGCAAATGCTTTTCTAGAGCTAAACTGCTCCACTAGAACAACCCTGCTGCTTTCTCCTGCCTCGTCCTATTGCTGCGTGAAAAATCAACACACCAGGATCTTGCTGTACTTAAGTTTTGCTCCCTTTTAAACTAGTAACATTGCTTCTTAGCTACTCATTTTCATGGGAACTAGAGCCAAGCTTTAAGTCCTTACAATTTCCTCGGCTTCTAATTTCACTGGCGTCGAGTTCAGACCAGTTAATCAAATGTCTTTTGTGTTGCAGGTGCCTTAATGTTTATTTTGATTAGTGTACCAGTTGCTATTTTTAGCTCTTTGGTCTTTGGGTTGAATGAATACCAGCACAGACATTAAACCATAATAAACATGTGTTTTTAACCTTGCCATTTATTTTTATGTCTCTGTATCCAAATAATCAGGATGTGGTTACCTGTGAAGGTAGTAGACTACTACTTCAAATTTCAATGCACACCCACATACAAAAATATACACTGTAGAGGTTTACAGCTTTAAAAACACCCAGACAGACCCTTGTCTGACTTTAATGGTTGTTGCCATCGGACTGAGAGACAGTGGTACCACCTGGCTTACTGCTTTGACTTTGTCCTTTGATTTCATGGAACTAAGTCTGCCTCACCCCTACACGATAACCAGCAGCTTTCTTCCTCGCTACTGATCCCTCATGAACAACATAAAAAAAACCAAGAAGATACGCAGTGGGGTAACCAAATAACAGAAGCACATGTAAAATGTATTGAAAAAGCCAAGCAATGAACAGAGTTTCAAGAAACAACACTACAAGTGTTATATCTTTATTTTTTAGAACTGGACTTCAAACACTCTTCTGGGTTTTCTCCTTTGTAGTATGGGGGAAAAGTACAAAGCCAAATTTTTTTTACCATGCGTTTTCTGCCTGATCTAATGGGAAATTTTCTACACAGAGGATAAAACAACTATTGTATATCATAGAAATGTATTTATACATCCTTTCTATCTCCACTTTTGCCAAGTGGAGAGTCAGCAAAGAATGGCAGAATCAGGCTTGAATTATACTCTGGGGCAGGACCTGGAGACAGTGTAATCAGCAAATTAGCAGATATCTTTGGCACTAGAGGCCCTAGCCTAGTTTTTATTCGCATCAGCTGAAATGTTCTGACCTGGGTGAGTTGGAGGCACATAAGGTTTTAAGAGCTAGATCCAAACAAGGGCTTAAACAACGTAGCCTAAACCCACAGCCAAAGATAACCCCTGCAGCAAGCAGCTTCCTCATCCTGAACCTCCCAAAACTTGACCCTCCCTGCGTTATTTAAAGGCTCTGCAGGTATCTGCAGTTCTGCAGCTATGGCACATGGTCAGAACACCACCAGCCTGAGCAATGTATTTCCATGTAAGCTTTTCCCAGGTGTGGGAGCTGGATAATTTTATTCCAGGATCCCAAGAAGATGCTGGAAGTTGTGGCTACCATTAACTCATGGTGAGGACCGGTGAAATGCAGCGTTACTTTCAAAATGCTGTTGGAGAGGTCTGTGATTCCTGTAGCAGCTTTAAGTACCTATCCAGCATGTGGGGAGGTCAGGGTCAGCCTGGGTGGCTATGAGCCAAAGTGTCCCTGCTTACGAGTGAGTGTCTAGTTCATCTGGTTTTAACACAAGTTTGCATTCATTACTGCTTCCACTGCAAGGACTGCTGGGCTATTGTGCAGAAAGGAATTAAAAGATTTGCGAGGCTGTAAAGGAGCAAAGAGGAGGGAGCTGATTCTGCATCCAAAGGTGAAGAGCATTCAGCTAGCACTATCTGGTCCCTGGGTTTTATGCAGTGACTGTAAGATAAAACATATTAACAGCCACAGGAACAGAAGTTCCCTTTGCTTTCACTCCTTTAAGACCTTTAGAGCAAGGTTTCTTTGGGAACGCAGCTGTGAAGTCATTAACAGATTGTTCTCCTTTGCAGATGCTGCAGTTCCAGCTTGTTGTGGTGCATTTGGCCCTCGTGATTACCCTGCTGCAGTGGCACTCTAGCTCAGTGCTCCTTGCAGAGGCAGCTCCAGAGGTAGGTGAATGTTTCTGGTGGCTGTCATGTAACCCTGCTCTTCCTCAGGTTGTTCCTGGCCACAGAACGTGGAAGACACCACAGTATCCAAACAGGGTTGGAAGGTGAACAATTGATATTGACTCTGCAAGTGCAAAGGAGCAGCCTAGTGAAAAGAGTGATGCAAATTGCGTGGCTCTGGGAGGACAGACAGAATGAAGTCTCACCCAGTTTCATGCAACCTCTCCTGAAACACCATGGGATTTTCTGTGTGTTAAAGCACTGTACAGTGACTTTAGGTAGAGAACTTCCTGAAGAGGGGAAGCGGGGGGTGGTAGGGGGGCAGGCAGCAAAGCACACTCCTCTAACATTGAAGGGAAGGTTTCATCTTCTTCTTAAAGACAAATAATAGCATGAGAAGTCTGCAGCTTTCAGAAGCCATAAGGAGATCCCTGAGAGAAGACCACCTGCACAAAATTTACAAATTAAAGGAGACAGAATAGACTAGGAGAGGGAGGCAGCAAAGTAACTTGCCTAAGCTTGGAAAGGAAAGCAGCAGATTAAATGGGAGAATTGTCTCATGTTTCATCCAGGACAATATGCAGGGTTTGCACCTGAAAATACCTCTACCGCATTCTCTTTTTTTATGTCATCTTGACATAAAACATATTTGTCAGGAAAGGTATTTATGTAACGGTTTTATGCCATAAAAAATCAAGGATCTAAAAGTTTGATCAAAGTAGCACTGTTTGGCTGTAGGGTCTTTACATAGGTTTTTAAGATCAGCTTAGAAGTTAGATGCGTACTGAAGAATACTGCTGGATCCTTCTACCTTGCTCTCTGTCTTCAAATGAGCATGCTCTGATTATACAAAATAATATTTGTTATAGAAAACAGAGCTTGGGGGAACCACTCCCCACATCAATGCTGCAGCAGCTGCTGTTCTGGTGCCACAGAGACCTGGTACCCTGTCTCTATCAGTGAGAGATTTTTGTGAAAAGAATATAAGAGCAGAATATCTTCAGAGACCTCCTGATCCAGAGATTTGCACTGGACCAGGGCATGTTTTAGCTGCTAATGGGCCTGAATTTGTCTTCGAAACAGTTTAAAATCTTGGTATCCATGACATCCTTTGGCAATGCATTCCACTTCATCTATGTGCTGTGTTTAAAATGTAGCTCCTTATATTTACTTTAAATCACCATCTGGAGACTTCACTGGGTGGACTGAGGAGGTTTTTTTTTTTCTTGAGGAAAAAATTACTAGTCTTTATTCACCTCTTTGCTGTTCATAAATTTACAAACCCTCCACTGTGCTCCTGTACCCCACACTTACCTCTGCTTAGCTGTGAAATTGTACTTTGTTCAGTGGTTCACCATAGGAAAACTTCTGATTATCAGTTTAGCTGTCTCTTTACTTCTTAGAATTGTATTATATCCTTTTTAAGACAAAGTAAGTGGGACTGCACAAAGTACTCAAGAGCAGAGGCTATTTTTGACATTCTAGTTTCAAGCATTATTGTAGATATTTATCCCCATTAACGAGAGGGAAGAGTTCAGTCTTTTTTAAAGGCATAATTTTGTTGCAAACCTCTATGAAAGTTTTATAACCCTGAAAGGGAACAGGAAGGATTGCTCAGTGCACTTGAGGCTTATAAAAAGTAAAGTCAGAGGACAGTACGAGATCCTTTACAAAAGTATTAACAGTGCTACATCATTTGTGTGATCATTGTGGTCGTTGTGCTCCTCCTTCTATAGAGATCACAGTTTTATACACTCCATCATGGGTTATGCCACCCATCAGTAGTGGGCAACGTCACCGCCACAACTATGGTGTGGACCACAGTAGAGACAGGCTTATTACATCGTTCATGTGATAGCTTCCTTTACATTTGTACTAAACCCACTGTGTATGAATAAGAAAGATAGTGGCGTGCTTCTAAAGATAGATGAAAACCTGCTTCAAGGCATATAATAAAATTTTTGGTTAGATATTTTTATCCAATTCTGTGAAGATCAAGTGGAGCAAGAAGGCAAACATTTCATCTGAAGAGAGAATGATTTGAGCTTAACACCTGCTTTTGTAGACTAGCTGCTGCCCTATATTTTTCTGTTATTTGCAGAGCAGCTATTTCACTTTGGTGTCTTTCATTTCCTTCTTGATAGACCACAATATTCCCAGTTATTCTGGATAGCAAAGTAGAGTTTGATTTTTGAAAAGCTGTTTAAGCCTAATGTCATAACTAAGGTTCAAAATGCTGTGTCGATTCAACATACTGTTCTTTCCTTTCCTCCTCCCCACAGAATGTTATTGCATAAATTCTTTGAATGTCAGTGCTGAGTTTTTTGCATAACAATTAATTAATTTTTTAGCTTTGGATGGAAAATTCTGTATAAGTTTTCATTACTATTTATTAGCATTCATTTAAAAAACGAAAATCAGTTTCCTGAAAAATATCAGGATGGATATTGGAGTCTGGTAATGGTGATTGCATTTTTAAAAGGGATTAAATTACTCAGCTCATGCTATAAGGGATACTGATCACACTGCTGAGATAGGGGTAGTGGGCTGGCCTACAAAAACAGGCTTTGTGAAGTAAAAAATGTTGGTAATTCTTGTGATAATAATGAAGGTGAGTTCAGTCTATTAAAAAAAAAAAATCCCAACCTTTTATGGCAAACTCCTGTGGGTGGAAAATGGCCACACTTCACAGAAGGAACTTTGTTTTAAAACTTTGTCACAGGTTCAGTATCCTAGAGATTATGTATTTATAGGACTGCTGCTGTGACGCTAGTTGAAATGGTTTTTCTGGAACTTGAGCAGTAAGCAAATACCCCTGCTTTCTTTTGCAGCCTTTGGAGCCTTCTGCTGCTCTGGGCATGGGAGCACATCCCATTGCCAGTGAAGAGAAGTCACCCACCAACCTGGCAGCCAAACTGTTCCTTCTCGATGAGCTGGTGTCTTTGGAGAATGAGGTGACTGAGACCAAGAAGAAAAGAAGTTTCCCAGGATTTGGCTCCCCAATTGACAGAATTTCTTCAACCTCTGTGGATGCTAAAGGCAAACAGAGGTAAATTCTTAGATGCTCCTACCAGTGATAAAGTTGGAAGAAGGCTGTTGGTAGGTGCCCTGGATACAGGTGGGTTAGCTTTAACCACCAGCGGGTTTACTGGTCAGTTGTGAGGGGCCTCTGATCAGGGTACTAGAATCTCTTCAGAAACCGTTCTGGTTGCATGGTGTGTAATCCTTCAGCTGCGATGAATAATACATGCGCTAGTGCATTTACCCCTACAGTGCCGTACAGCTAACAAAGAACATTCAAGCATATGCATTTTTTTAGTACACTTCTTTCCACTGATGTGAACTAATATTCAGTCTAAAACTGCCTTTTTGATCATGAGATTATTTAAAGCAAAAATATGCCTGAGGTTCAAAAGCAGAGGGGCAGGGCTAGGTGTTCCCGAGGCTGGGGTGAAGAGAAGGTATGGTGGTGTGCACATCTTAAATAGCAAGATGAAGAACACATTGTGAAAATGGGCAGACGGGTAGTACAATGAGCTTCAGGACCTCAATCAACTTATGGTAAGCCAGGGCTTAATCAATACAGCAGTACAACAACACATTCACCGTGCACATTTGAAGATAAGTATGTTTATAACAGGGCTAAGCAATGATGCTTGATATGGCCGGGGAGAGCCAGTGAGTTTGGGGCAAAGCTCAAGGGGCTGTTAGCTATATCTGAAAGAGCTTAATTGTCTTGTTCCCTTCTTCTGGTAACTGTCTTCTTTTGGATGGCATTCCCAATGCCGCAAAGTATTTAATAACATGCTTAACGCTTAATCTGGAAGTGGAAAGTATTCACAAGAGCCAGTCGACATGACAAGTATTTTTTTCAAACAGAGTTTTGCAATATTTTCTTGTTGTTTTTCCATTTATCCACCCAGTCCGCTACTCGGACTTTTTGACTGCAGCCAAAAGTGATAAAACATGAAATTCTTAAAACCTTGAGTAGAACTATTCTGTTCTGTATATCTCTTCAAGCGATCAAAACCAGCTCATTCTTTGTTTGCTTTTTAGCATGTTTTGCCTTTCCAAGGGAAGAAATACAGGGTCATTTTTGAAGCCGCCATACCTTTTTTTGCAAAAGTACATGGTATTCCCAATTTGTCTCATGCTTTTTGGGTGGAAATCTTGTTTCATTCTACATGCAGTACAAGGGAAAAAAAACCCACAAAAAAAGGAAATTGTGGTGAAAATTGTCCAAGTTTTCTAACAGCTTGTCTCTGAATAATGAGCTTATGCAAATGAGTGATACACTGCACAAAATTCCTCCTTTCCCAGCATCGATAGCACAGTTTGCAGTTTTGTGTTGAGATTATCACTTTGGGGGAGCTGCTTAGCTTTTACGTTTGGGATTGACTCATTTATTAGAACCATCTGAGCTGCCTTGATCACTGCATTGGTAGTCAGAGACTACCATCAGCATGGACTGCAGATCAGATGAGTGCTACGAAACAGTAGTAAGGCTGTGCCTTTAGGTGGAAACAGGCCGAGGCTGCTGCACTTAGAGGAGTAAAACAGAGGGCTGAGCACCCCATCACTGTTGTGCTCACAGTAGAGAGCAGCCCATTCATTCCTGTACCAGCTGAAATGGTTACCTTTAGAGACCAGGTAATGATTTTTGAAGTGTGAAAGCTGTTAAATAGATTCAGCCCCCCCCTGAATTAATACAGTGTGCGTAGTGCCTGGCAACACAACAGAAACTTTTGGAAAAGAGCAGATCACATATAAGTCCACTTACCAGATTGTTCTGGCACCCACCAGTTACAGGAGGGCCCAGATCCTAATCTCGCTCATCAACATCAATTTATGAAGCTCTGAAAGCACGGGAAAAGCATCCAAGAAGACATGCGTCTTCAAAAGAGGTAGAAAGATCCATAGATAGGTGGAGAGAAAGAGACTCTGGGAATCTTAGAAAAGCCTGCTTTAAACAGAAAACATCACTTTGTCCCTAGTAAGTGCTGAAATATGCACAGTCTGGGAGATGGAAACGGCAGGGGAGGGAGCGGGGGCTGTCCTGCTGTGGCTCGGGATGGCCACAAGAGGGGAAGCTCCGCTGCCTGCTGCCTGCCTGCTGCCTGCCTGCTGCCTGCTCAGCCTCTCCCGTGGGCATGACTTCACCTTTTCCTTCTCTGTTTAACTACAGAGCACCCCCACCCCCCCCAATCCCACCTGGATTCCTCCTTGTATCCAGCCCGGCTCAGGATGACTCCAGCAGCCCAAGTGTCCCACTTGCCCCCCACCAGCTTGTGCCCACACCTTGGGCGGAGAAGACCACTGCCCTTGAGGGAACAGACTGAGGATCTTTCTTTCCCTTTGCTCTCCCTATGGCTTAGTGCAACGGGGATACATGGGTGTTTGAGGAAGGGACAGCGAGGGCTATACAGACGGCTCCCCTTCATTCGCGATGTTCTGTGGCTGCCCCGGTGTGACATTTGTGGTGCTCCCTCCGTATGTGGTGCACTGCCAGTTCCCATTTCTTGACCTCGTCTGAAAAGTAGCTAGAAAAGAGGCGGTATGAAATGGGCTGCCGATGCTGGAACGATGCCTCTGGGCTTCAGCCTGCGCCCGAGAGGTGTGAGGAAGGGAGACTGCTCCGTGAGACCACGGACTAGACAGATAGTCCTGGGTGGGGTGTGCAAAGCCCCCAAAGCCCCAGCCTGAGTGAGTGTGGCAGTGCTAGCACGTAAAGTTAGACTCCAGTGCACCATAGCATGCTCTTCTGCCAGTTACTTTGCATTTGCCAACTTACAGAACAAAATTTCTTTTTATTTGTGTTCCTTGACAAGGACAGATAGAGAAAAGAGTTCATCTTCCAGGGCTTCTCTTGGACCTGCATTTCACTGGCAAGTATTTCCAAGGGCAAAAGTTGAGGTTATTCTCAGCTGCAGAAAATCTCACCATTTCCCCCATTAACTAAAATAAAACTTCTGCTGGTGGAAAAAATGCTCAGAAATGCTGAATTAAGATGGGAAAACTTTTTGATATTAGAAAAAAGGTAATAAAATATTCCTGCATAGAACTTCTTTCACGCTTTCCTCATGGTCTCATTCATCAAATCATCAGGAAATGTACCATATGGAGGAAAAAACCCCAAAACTAAAACCCTCCCATTTTCAATCTCAACAAAGGGTTACTACTATACAATTTTAAGAACAGTGCATTGGAGGAGACCCCAGAGGAAAATCGTGCTAGGGCTCCTTTGACTTGTCCCCTCTGTTACTCTGCAATACTTTCTACCTCCTTGCTTATCTTAGCCCCAGTTGGCCCTGGAAATTTCAAAGATCCAGACTAATGGGGCACCTGAAGTATGTGATATTATGCATGAAACAATTCCCCTTTATACATGCAGTGTATCTCCTTCCTTTTATGAATAGCACTTAACCTGTGAAGTTATTTGTTTGCTGCCAAATGAAAACAGGGAGAGTGGATCAGCATCAGCCAGTCTGTAAAACAGATGCAACTACTGCCTATTCTTCTGTAAGACAAGTGAAGCATCTTGTTTTTAAACACTCACATCTTTGGCTGCTCCTGTTTGAACAGAACAGCTGTTCTGTTTGAACAATAGGTTGTTAGTGGGATGCGTGGAGAATCAAAGATATAGTAACACTTTGATTATTCCTATGATGTCTTTCCCCAATTCTTTCCCTCCTTCTTTGCTTTTTTTTTTTTCCCCCATGCAGGAAAGTGGTTGAGCTGCCTAAGAGACGGTTTGGAGTTCCTCTTGACCGGATCGGAGTGAGCCGTCTTGGCAACACCAAGGGTTAGCAGTTCCTGCAAGTAAGCCAAAGTACTCTGGGTGTGGGCAGGCTCGGAGAACCCCACCTCTTCTCAGTTACTTGGAGGTATTCAGGTCATGCCTGTAGGCTTGGAAAGAGCGGCTTGGGGAATGATGGCTTCTTATAACGTGGATTGTGACTGTCAATTAGTACCCCCCTACAAAAAAAAACAAGTATTCCTAACATTTTCATCTCCTGTAGACCACCTTACAGTGTGTTTGTCCAAGCCTTGCATTTCTGACATGGGAAAATGTAATGTTTACTGCTTTTCTGCCTACAGGTGCTTCTGTTCTGAATGATTGATGCTGTATTGGAAATATTACAGAAATACGGAAGATGCATCACAGCATGTTTTGTCATTGACTAATGATACAACACTCAAGGAACTGACCTCCTGCAAAATCTGTTTCACATTGCATTTTACAAATGTTGCATTTACAAATAATAACAAATTCAATTCATCAGGTCAGAATGCTCTCACAGTTGTGCACGGTGTCACTGATAGGAGGGAACAGAAAATATGTATATAGTTTAATTGCATGGCATTTATTTCTTAAACTTGCAGACGTTCATTATCCTAGCAAGGACTGTTAGATTTTTTTTGATTGAAAATAAACTTCCAGAGATGCCAACAGCAGTCCATGAAAAGCAGACAGTTTGCTTTGCACATTTCTTTCAAGAGGGTGTTTGTTTGGTAGATGAAGGGAGGATTTAACAGTTACGGGACAAACGTAGAATTTATTTGAACTGCTGTTCAGGAGAAGATGTCTACTGACTTCACCAGGAGTTAGCGTGAATAAGAACTGTGACAATACTTTAGTGTTTGTCATGATGGTTTTAGTAGTCTTCCTCTTATCTCTGCACCATATTTAGACATGTTTTCATCATATGGCAGATCCTGAAATGTGGTAAGACTTCTAGTTTCCTCCTCTAAGCTGATGAATACATTTCACTCCTCCCTATGCATAACGTAGGATAGCGTCCAAATATGAAGTCATCTACTTCCTAGGCCATCTGCATCATATGCCTTATTTTAGCCTCTTGATGTGTGCATGGGGCATACTCAGACATCCAACTCTAAAAGTTCAAGTATTTCTCACTCTGGTAAAATGTAAACATGTCCTCTCCACTTCATTTCAGAGTAAAACGGGTTATCTTAAATCCTGTTTCATGCTTTTCACTTCTTTCCAGACTACAAAATATAGCTGAAAAGAGCTGTTTGCTGACATCTTAACGCTCAGATTCCTAGCTGATATTTTCTAAACTCACACGCTCCTTCTTGGGCTTTGGTCCATGTCAGCTAAATTCCTTGGATTGCTCTTCTTGGGTATAAATCATCCTTAGCATTGCAAAGGAAGATCCACTGAGAAAGGGATTATGCAGGACTAAGAAAAAAAAAAATTATTCTTCCCAAACCCCCTGTGTTAGGCAGAGAGTAAGGCTGGAGATGGGAATTAAGCGCTGATTTCCTAATGTTACATGAGGCACCAAGCACCTGGCCATTAGCTAGCAAAATGGGGAAAAATACAGTTGGCGTCTGGGTCAGCTACAGGAAAGGAGTTGGAAAGTCAATGAGTCTTCGAAGTTAAAGCTATTGTGAGGATGGGGACTTTGGGGCAATTGCCCCAGATCAGGCCGTGGTGGGAGATGAGGCTCCCACTCAGAAGGGCAGGTAGCATCCAATTCCTGTCTGAGAGGGGCCAGTGCTCAGCCAGAGCATGGGCCTTTCCCATTTTCCTTCTTGCTTACAGCCCTGCCTTGAGACCAGGGCTGGCCCAGTCACAGAAAGTCTGCAAGAAACTTTGCTTTTCTTGACATCCCCAACATAGGCTAATGCTGCTGAGAGCAGCTGCACAAACCAGTGAGTCACATCAAGAGGTGCCCCCATCTTTCCCATCAAGCAGAGCACTCTCTAGCTGAGTTAGGTGATCGTTCCTCCTTCGGTGGGTGAGTTGTCAGTACTTGTGTGTGAGGTGAAGCACCGCAGATGCTTTCCAGGCCAAGTTCTTGAAAGCCATAGAAAGAAAGAAGGGCTGTAAACCCATATGTGGTCATCGTGGGGTTTTGGTCCCTGCTTTTCCCCTGATCCCACTCCCTGTTTTCTGCCTTTAAGCTCGCAGGTGAAGGCTCTGAGAGCTGGATCGAGTGGGTGCATGTAGACTAGGTGACTTGAGACAGGATCTTCTGTCCGTGCTAGAAGCGAGTCTGCAAATGCAGTCCCAGGCAAGCCCAGACCCTGTCCTCTGCAGTGCACTGCCATCACCTACCCTGAGCCCACCCTGCGGTTTAGTAAACAGTTGTCTTCTTGCACTGAGCTCATGCAGACAGCCTGCAGATAATCTGCTTGCAAGGTAGCCATATGTATGGGGCATGGGCAGATTATGGAAGTGATGACCTGACCACTCATACAGCTGTCTGTCAAAAGCAGCATGGACAGAGTCATTGCATGATGTATTTTGGGAGACTCAGATCAGAGGAATCCAATGCTAACACAGAGGCTTTGCAAAGACACTGCTGGATCATAAAAGTATTTAACAGTTGGCAGGTATTAGCCTAGGCTTCCAAATAAAGAGGGGTTTTAAAGCCTATAAGTTGTGTGCAGAAATGCCCTCCATCTGAAGGGTGAGGTGAAAGCAAAGCACGACAGAGGTGTCTGTGGTGGTGTTGCGTGGAACACAACTGAAGCTGGAAGCTTCAGTCCTGCTCTTGGCTCCCACCTCACTGCGTGGATTACTTGGGAGAAAGCAACAGCCTTTCTGTTCCTCTTCCCCATCCACCACAGAGCACACTGAGACCTTCTGTGGCTCAAAAAGCACTCTTTCAAATCCATAAGTTGGCAGAGGCTGTTTAAAATATGATGATGTCTGAAAGGCTGAACACCACAATTTGTTTTTGTAGACAATATTGGATAGCTTCAGTCATTGTGCATAGCATAGAGGTCAACAAATGTGAAATGAGGCTATACGGCAGCATCCGTTGCACGCTAGATTTGCCCTGTGCTGCCTGTTTGCAAATCTGTTCAGATGCCTGTGAGGATTTTCTGCTAATAAATCAACATGGTCTGCTAGAATGTCTAAGGGAAATCCCTTTAATTATTGCCTGTGGGTCATTAACTTTAGCAAGAGCAACTGCCCAAGCATGGGTAAGGTGTGAGCAGCCATGATGTGGAGGTGGCACCTGAGGAAGAGAAGAGTTTCTGTTCTGCATGTTTAGGAGAAAGGACAGGACCCCTACAGTGATGTGTTGAGGGTGAGTTGTGGGAGAGCATCACCACCTTTGCTTTGAATTAGTAAATGAATTGCATTCAACACTTATTCGTCACTCCAGCAGAAGCAGCTAACACAGCAACATATAGTGCCTGTGAGGAAATAGTGGGGTAGTCTGGGTACCATGAGCACTTGAGTAACTGTGCTGATAGGATGTAGCACACCATGTGGGCTACAGATCACTGCTATGCAGCATGGTGCATTGCACTCCAGGAAATTCCTGTGTGTAGGATTAGAGCAAGCTGTTAAATAGCCACAGACGCTGTATTCCTTTTCCTGACTTGCCTATGAGCTGTCAGACCGGGTCGGCAAGGCACGGCTACAGCTAGCAGGTAACAGATGGAGCCTGCTGCTCTGGCCTTTCATTGCACTGGGATTTCCTGCAAGCTGAAAGCATCTGAGCTGAACACCAGCTTGGGGCACCCAGTGCAGCTCTTGTAATACACCTCCCTTTCAACTGGAGCACCAAACTCTTAAGGAAAGAGGGACCCTTCTCTTGGCAATAGGCTATAATTATTTGCTGGATTTGGTGGGGTTGTCAGGGTATGGGAAAGTATGCTCCCACATACCTTTTCACTTACACAAAAGCAACAAAAAATGGGAAACGTGTTCTGAATCACTACCAAGGAAATAACAAAGAATTAATGTTAACAGCAAACTGTATTTTGCATGTCATTAGACCTCACTGATATAATCAAGCTGGTTTTATTCCATAGATGCTGGCTTTGGCCTGTAATAGGATGAATAGATCTCCTGTTAATGAAGTACATACAAGGTACTGCTGTGGTAAGCGTGTGCCTCTTGCCAGAGCCCAAGGCAATGAATGTAGCATGGTAATTACAGCTTTGGGAGAGGTAAAGTTTTGAAGAATATGTAGTATGCAAGCTACAGTTAAATAGCATGACTCGACTGGGCTGGAGAGACAGTTCAATTCTAGTCAAAATCAGTCCACACATTCACAGTGGCTACCAGATTCTGCTCTTATTTACACTGTTGGAAACCTCAAAGGTAACATCAGGATTTATTCTGCACCCTTGGGAACATGGGCCTTTGTTTTTGCAAATAAACATGGATAACACGACTTAAGATGAATATATGTAGGAACCACTGATGGATTGTGATCTCTTCCTTTTGGACAGGAGCAGACATAATTCTGCAGTAGAAAAAGCCAGCCAGCATCTGCACTGACCAGCCAGATGAGCCAAAAATCTCTGCCAAAACATCTCTTTGAGGTGAGTAGGCAAAAATCAGCGAGTCTGGTCCAGTCCTATGAGGATAGCAGCTCACACATACCCATGAGGAAGACCCAACTCTCATTCCTAATTCTGCTCAAAAGGAAGGGCCTCTTCCTCGGGCACATTAAAACAGGCCAGTGTTGCTATACTAGGTGGTTATTGGGAGCCTTTTTCCCATTGTAAGCTTCACATGAACATTCAGGTAACGAGACCCTACATCAAGGCAAATGTGCTGCCCTTTGGGCCTCTTCAGGAGGTGAGAAAGAAAACAGCACGTGCTTCTGTGCAACAGAAAATCTTTATTGGAATGACATCCAAAGGATCCAGACTTCTGTGCCTGTCCTCCCCCAAACCTACTGTGTACGCTGACGGGCCACGGTGAGGAACAGCTCTGGCTCAGCAAGCCGAGGCAGGCAGCCCTGAGCCCTTCCCATTACACCCAGTCCGCCTTCCTGTCCCAACAGCGGGTGTTAGGTCACCGCAGACCTGCTCGTAGGAGGCGACGGGGAACCCAGACACCACCGTGAACAACGTCTGCAGATGTGGGCAGAGGCCCAAGCTCAGGGGAACTGAGTGAGTGTTTGGTGCCTCGGGGGATCTGGTGAGAAGGGGAAGAGTGTACAGCAGCAGCAGACTGAGTGGCACGCGCAGGACAGCAAGGAAAGTGGGGAAGCATCTTCCAAGTAGAAGATGACAGTAGGTTAAACCTGGAAGGAAGGAACAGTGAAGAGTGGTAGTGGGCTACCAGCTCCTGTCACGGTCCCTGTTAGACTTGGTTGCGGTGCGGTCGTGGAGGATGGCATCCAAGTTAGCAGCACGATGAGAGAACAGAACAAACTCTTAACACATCAATACCCAGCAAGTAAGTTTGGGGAAGGGCTCATCTTCATCCTCCAGTCCTGGCAAGCCTTCAGATGCAGTATTTCCAAAAGCAGGCTGGGAAGAGATACAAGAGAAGGATGTTAGCACCCAAGGGACTTTTTCCAGCTTCCTGCTCTAGCCCTGGAGTGGGTTTCAAAAGCTCCATGTCTCGAGAGAGTTAGGGGGTGAGGCCAGCATTGTGGTTTCTGGGCACATCTCAATAACCAGCTTTGACTTCATATAACACCTCTAGAAGGTGTTTCTTTTAGCCGCATATAATGTAAATAAGGGGTCTAAAAGTTGTTTCCGTTTTGCTTGATTTATAAGGGTTTGCTTTTCCTTTTGCTCTACTTCAGCAATATCAGGAATCTGCTTTTTCTTGTCTACTGGCCAGCAGTTTTGCTGCCTCAAGAGGCGTGTGCAGGGTTTTTCACCTCTGGCTGACTGGAAGAGCAGGATACTGACTTGGAGAGACCGAATCTGGTCCTTACAATTTTTTTTAAAACCCAGTCACTCTGTCACTCTGCTGCTAACTGTCCTGCAAACAACATTGATCTCTGTGAGATCTCCTAAGGAGACTAGATTAGGGAAGTATGCACATTTTGGTGTTGGAAAAAATAGCTGTATCACCAGCATGCCCTGTTCTTTGAATCCTGCGTAGGTCTCCTATTCTCAAATATGAGAAGAGATTTCTACCTGGTTTTTGAAAGCAGGATCTTGGGAAAAGTTTCTACTGAATCAGCAGTGCTCATGCTGAAACACGAGCTCCTCCCAGACTGGAAGGACTTTAGATGAAGGCAAAGATTCTCTGTTTTAATTTCTGGCAGAATCTGATTTAAACCTGGCAGGGGGAAGTAGTTTTATCTACATTTGAACCTTCCAGAATGGTGGGGGCATGAATTAGATTAGCCAAGTTAATGACAGCCTCCAGGGTTGCTTATAAATTGCAGATTGTCTAAGGATCACCTAAGTACTTAAGCAAGCCTTGCACAAAGGGATTTTCTCTTGCCCGTCTGGCAGGTTGTCAGCTTGCACATGCACAGAGCATGTGGGATAAAGGCAGAACTAGCTCTTTTGTTTTTAGGCCCAATCTGTCATCGGTGACTTCTGGTTTACAGGTGCCCCTGCTTTGTGGAGGAATCCACTGAAAGCCAGCGTGAAGGGCATTGTCCATGTGCTTGTCGGGGCAGTCTTGCAGGACCACTGGTGCGATATGCTCTTGACTCACTGGATACAGACTGGACAAAGCTTGGAGACCAACTAGGGGACCTATCAGATCTTAGTTCTCTGCATTCTTGGTTGATTTCCACATCCTTTTTAGCTGCTTTTCAGCAGCACAAACAAGTGCTCTTTTTTTCTCTGTAGGGAGGCAGTGACCTTGGCAGAGGGGAACACATGCAGCCCACATGCCTCATTATGCCTTCAGCACTAGCTTTGTGCCCAGAGCAAAGCGACGGGTGCGCTGTGGTGATGTGTTCATACAGAACTCACCCCCTCCAGGACAGGCACTCGTTGCTCATATAACCCCGTGTTCCTCTGTGAAAAGAGGGATGCAACACTGACTGCCTCCAGTGAGGTCCTGGGTGTGCAGACCCAGGTATCTGCCCTGACGGCAGGCAGGGTTAGGTACACAGTCCTTCTCAAGAGCTGCTACACCAGCCAGCCATTAACAGAAGAGGGCCAGGACTGCTAGAAAAGCTGCCAACCTGTTTTTCAGCATATTTGGGGCATGCTTACTGTCACTGCCTTTGTTGCAGAAAGGAAGCCATGGAGATGAGAGCTGGACAGGATGGCTGCAGGGCTCTAACCCAAAACCTACCACGTTTTTTGGGCTGGGATGCTGAGAGACTTTCCAAGGCATAGGCCACCTCTGACCCTTCCTCAGTTGAGAGCTGATCCTTCAACTTCTCCAGCTGTTTAAAAACAAACACAGCAGTAAAGAAATGCCCCATCGTGAGGAGCTCCACAGCATGCTGGCAAGCACAGGGCGGCTTAGAGGCAGGAGGTACAGGCAGCCTGGCTGACAGCATCACTGGGGAGGACAGGGTCTTCTCTGGAGTGGGACCGTTCCAGGAGGAGCTGCCTTTGGAGCACTCACACCTCTTCATGTCCTCCTCTATTAAGCTGCTTGTTTGGTGGCAGCAGTGAAGACACTCTCTGCTCTTCCCCCCCACACCCCAGGGTGCAAACCCCTGTGGAGAGGAAGCTGTGTAGAAGGATATTGCACCACTACGAGTCAGAGGTCTCTAGGCATCCAGCCACTGCAGCAGAGAGCATCGCTTCTCCATTGCTCTGCGTTGACACACACACACCCCCCCCATTCTTGCTAACTTCCCTTGGTTCTAATGTGGAAAGTCCATGGTATTTCTCTTCCATCTGTAGCTGCTCTTTTCTAGTAGACTGGGAACATCTACAGCCATCATCTATACTTCTGCTCTGGCAATGCTGCTCCCAGGAAGCCAGAGCTTAATGTCCCTCAGCACTGGACTGAGGGGCTAGGGTAGGAGCTGGCAGCCTCCCATCTGGCATGCCACACTGTGATTTTTCAGTCTGAAGTGAAAAGGGCCAAGTGGAACCCAGCAGGATCTCCCGGATCCATGCGTACCACTGGACCTGGCCTGAGAAAGATGAAAAAGGGCTTCCATTGCTTGCAGGGTTTGGGGCACAGTGGGAGCATATCAAGGTTGCTGCACACCTTTCCCTGTTCCTGGGCACTGGGTGTAGTATGGGTCTTCCTCTTGCTATCTGTGTGCGTGCACACTCTGCTCAGCACAGCAGGGCTCTGACCCTGGGCAGGGCCGCCTTTACTACTAAAGAGCCCAGACAAAAATCATTCTGAATTAAGTGTGCAGTGGCTATCCCTCTAACTTCAACCCATTACCTAGTGCAGCCAGCTGATATAATGCCTAGGAAGGCAGCATGACCGCCTCTTCGCCCTCCCTTTTCTTCCATGGAGATTTCCTTTGGCGTTTATTTTTTTCCTGGCTTGGCCTTTGCTGGCCTTTCACTCGGAGCTGCCTCAGCTTTTATTGCACTAGTCTATAGCCTTGCTCTTTTTTTTTTTATCTTTTCCAGCTTGTGCAGCCATTTAGCCCAGGTTCTGCTTCTCTCTTTGTGTGATACATGCTTACATTATAGCAGCAGGATGAAGAGTAGCAGCACGCAAAAATAGAAGAATAGGGCATAAAGACAGTATGCACAATTGTTTAGCTATCCATACAACCGTATGTATATATGTGTCTGTGCATTTGCTCCTCTCACCTGTTCAAGCTCTTCAAATTTCTTTGCCAGCTCCCAGTCTGTGAGAAGGGAGAGAGTAACATCAGTATCTGCATTGCTTCCCAAAGCCCAAATCAAAAACAGTTTCTTAATTTAACCTCTTCACGGGTTGACAAGAAAAGACCTAGTTATCATTTAATTCCTGTTAGTGATCTCCAAATCTATGGTAGCAGAATCAGTGACAGAAAAGCAGGCTTTTGCTGCTGAATTCTATGGGACTTTACCCTAATTCTCCATTATGAGGGAGGCTTCTTTATCGTTCACCAGGCTCTAGGGGAATTGGCCCAACAAGGTCACATACTGTGTGACACCAACTCGGGTGAAATTCTTTGCTATTTTTTAATTTTTATCCTGATAACAGTAAATCTCTAATGCTGGCTTTTCTGTCACTGGCCCTTTACATGAACGCCCATTGCTTCCTTTAAGACTTGTTTATCCTCACATCACCCATGCAGGCAGAAGTCAGAGGACACAGATTTAGCCTAGCATAACTTACTGCTTTATAAGTCAGCAAACATCAGGGTTGGCAGAGTGGTTCAACAGGAAAAGTAACATAGCAGCGAGTGCATGGATTCCACAATTCTAAATGTTAGGGGAGCACAGGGACCTGAGGACCAGCTTCACAGGTCAGACTGAGAGATCTCAAGGCTGAGCAGTACTGTACTAGACTGTTGGATGAATGCAGATGGATGAATGAACTGCCCCAAGATATCCCATCCAGGACAAGGGGAGAGTTAGGTGCCTATGCATGGGATCTAAAACCTCCAGCTGAGTTGGGAAAGTCCTGGACTAGCAATAGGGAAAGCTGAAGGAAGTGATGGGGGATTTTAATCTCACTCCTCTTGAGGACTGAGGTGTCTTATTCCAGACTCAAACTGATGTCAAAATCAGTTAATTTTTTTTAATAAAATAGATGAAACAATGGACAGCACCATGACAGAATGAGCTCAGTCAAAGCTGAGTGACTGGACTACAGCAGTTCTCCTGGCAGGGGAACGCAAAGTGATCAGCTGGTTTTAAGTGCCAGTTTGGGAAAAAATGCACTAAAATAAGTAGAGGAGCCAGGAAAGAGCTAAAAAGTGTCTCTGCTGGGCCCCACAAGAAAGCCAAAAACCAGCCCCGGAGCTGCCTCCTTTGTCTGCTCCTAACATGGCCACAGGCGTTGGTCTGCATTTCCAAGGGGATTTAGGACATATTTCCCCCTGATTTCAGATATGACTTCAGCCTACAGACACATCGCCAGACTTGGGCTTTTTTTTAAAACGTTTGAAACCAAGCAGGAGGGTGCCAAGAAAGAGATGACTGCCTTCTCAGTTTCTCCTTCGAGAAGGAAACAATTCAGTTGAAAAATCCTGAATATTTTTTGACAGATATTCATCCAACAGAAAAAGCAGCAGTTCCTAAGTAAATCCATTACATCAGGGCTGGGTTTGAGAGATGGTCTGTGGATGGGGATGGGCTGAGAGTCAGGACGTGGGGGCTCTCTTGCTGGCACTGCCAGCCATGACCTCAGGTAGATTCCTCTTAAGCGTGTCTTTACATATCCACAAGGTAAAGACAGCCAGGCCTGCATATCTACAAGTCAAAAGTGCCACTATACACATTTTTACCTCTTTCAGAGTTTCAAGTGCCTGTTTTGGCTTGACTTTCCGCAAACCGTAAGCTTGGCCAATGACTGCTATGAATAGAAAATGAACAGTGGTCGAAATTTGGAACAGATTATCTCAGGCAGGGGGAAGGAAGTTAATTTATGGATGAAGCCTTGAGAAACTGCCTGCTGTAAATCCTCTGTCTGTGCTCTGCTCAGAGATTCATTATATTCAATTGTCTGGCATAAAATGCAGCCTTTCCTCTAGGAGTAATAAGTGCAATAATCCGTAAACCAATCATAAAAATGTTATTTCTCGAATGCATCCCCTTTGCAAGAAGAATGCCTTTGTTAGTATAAGGACTTGATTTATTTGTGTTTGTTTATTTGTCCCAGGATTGTTTAACCACTGCCTCACTGCATTAACAAGGGGCTGGGGAAGAGCACTGAGTGATTTTGATGAATGGATTTTCATAACAGAATTTTTGCCTGGCCCCGTTCTCGGCTGTTTTCACAGGGAAGGGCAGCTTCCTGCTCTGAGACCACCACATACAGCCCAAACCCTCCCCCGGCTGCAGTGGCCGTGGGAATAGCTGACCCCTGTAATCTATATGGCACTTGTGATCGCTGTGCGTAGTGTTATGGAAAGCCCAAGCTTATCTTCAGCAGGTCTGAGTTTAGCCACATGCGGGTGGCTTGAAATTTGGTGTCTGTTCACAGAGCACGGACAGGAAAAGCTTCCACGTGGCCTGTCCTTGGCCTCTCCACCGTGTGGGAAAACCTTGTTGTCTCAACCTCTTCCAGCAGCAGCAGGGGCTTAGGCTCAGAGAGGAGGTCCCACTACCTTTGTCCCAACCTACACCTGACCCCAAGGGATCTCAGCCGTATTCTCTCTGCAAAATCTTGATGCTGCCCCACTGCCCCGTGTGCTCACAAGATGCTGCTGGTTTTAGCGTACCGGCAAGACACTGAGCTGTCTCGCAAAAGCACGTGGGGCTGTATGGGGTGGGGGTGGAGAGGTGACTCCCAAGGCTGGCCCATGCCCCAGGCATAGTACACAATGTCTCAGGGATAGCGGGGGCACGGGGACTCAGCAGCATCTCTTCCTGTTATAACTTACGTACACGTACATGCTCCCTCACCAGCTCAGTGTCGAGTGTCTGAGAATCTAGGGTGTGTGGTTTGGGGCAGCTTTACATCGCATTGGAAAAGCAGGTCCAGGAGCCCCATGATGGAGAACATCTAACACTAATCACATGTAGGCACCATACCGGGTGCTTCCACTTTCTGAGCAGTTGATATTTCTGAGGAACCTGAGGAGCAGGTTCCTTGCATTCATGCAAACACAGGTTCAAGCAGCTGAGATCTCCCATCCCCTTCACTTACCAATATTTTCCGGTCTCCGCCATGCAAGTTTCTTATTAAGAAGCAGAGTCAGCAGTGTGTCCTCATGATTTGTGTCTTCTCTCTCCGGAAGCACCCGGTTCTCTGCAGCACATAAAACACACCTTTCTCGATCTCTAATGACAACAGGATGGACTGTCCAGCCCCCAACATTAAAAGAAAAATTAAGAAGGTTAAGAAGTGGAAGGAAAACGTCTCCTGTCAGCACTTCGTCAGGGTGGAAGGAGCTCGAGGGAAGAGGAAGATGTGTGAGCACAGAATAAAATGTCCAGGCAGCGAGGGCTGCACAGTGAAAAGGTGCAGGATGGGAAAGCCCTCCCTGCCAGCTCCAGGCTGCTGGCCAGTCTCACTGCAGCCTCATCGGCATGGCTGGCTGCAGAGAGCTGGAGACATCACCTTGATTTAGACAGTCCCGACCTCTTCTGCAAGGCAGATGTAGCGGCTGCCTCCGCAAAGCCAGACAGCAGCCCACGAGATATTCTCTTCTCAAAACTGCAGGTGTTCCCCCCACTCACACCACCCACTTTCCCGGGGCTGACAGAGGTGGGAACCCACTCCTCGTGAGGGCTGACGTGTGGGTACCGCATCTGAAAAGCCCTGCAGCCTCGCAGTCTATTCTAGCACTCACTCAGCCTTGGGGCTGCTCTGTCTGCTTGCCAGTGGTATTAAAGGATTCTTCCTGAACAGAGCCAAAGCGTGGGGGAGTTTAAAGCAAGCCTCTTTATTCCTGAGGAAGACTTTTACAGTAGCTGTAGGCCATGCAGAATTTTTCTGTCTTCCAGGAAAAACCTCCCCAAGCTGCTGTCCTAAAGCAATTTGGACCTCTCTATGAGGTCCCTTTAGGGAACTTTCTCAGTGGTTTTGCTTTAGTGGTTGTGGCTATGCCCTCAAATGAATGGTTGTGAAGGGCAAGGGTTCAGCAGAAACCGATGGATGCATGGGATGGAACTAATCAGAGCCCTGAAGGCTCTGAGACCCTCCCAGCACTGCTGAACAGATTTCCAGAATCATCTGAAACTTGAATGCTGCATTCTTTTTTGAGAATTACAGAATGGATGCCAGACTTGACAGGAAGAATGGCCATTCCCCAAAATCTTTGGTCTGAACATCCCTGCCCCACACCCTACAAAGCCCTATAACATGCCTACAGAATCCATGGAAAATACTAAGAAATTATGCAGAAAGTCTTATTTTCTCTTCTTCCAGGATCTTTAGGACTTCTGCTCACTCCTTTCAAGGAGGTGAGAAAGGAGAAAATGGTGTCATATAGCCATCAGCCCTACATAGCTGTGATGGGACGAATGCAATTATTTTTTATACATGTGAGACAAAACATTGTACCAGATGAGCCGTAAGGGCGTTCAAGAGTATGTGGGAATCAGCTCCATTAGCTCAAGTCACATAAATCTGCAGAAGCAGAGGGGCCCTGGCCAAAGTGATGCTCCAAGTATTTGGCCAGACTCAACCCTGCCTCACACTGCGGCTGAAGCCGCTGGTCCTGATTGTGATCTCTAGAAATAAACCCGAGGGAGTTAGCAGAGCTACACAGTGTATAAAACTTGTAGTTAGCGTGGAGTGCTATAAACCTCATTCCTAAGTCTGAAAGACAGTTATGATTTTATAATAGCTATTTTTAGTCATTTGGGGGATTTGCTACAGAAAAAAACCACTATAAACACTTGAGTAAAAACTAGACAGAAGCAGTATTTAGATAGAGTGGCCTCAGGAATGTTTTGGTTGTCATTAGAAAAATAAATAGGTGATATAAGAGAAAAAATCATTTGAAAAGCAATGTTATTTTCAAGCCTATATTTAGCTGCTCTTTTTTTTTACTCCACTGCTAAGTCTCTTTAAGAAAGAAGATTAATGATTGACATCTCCCTGCAGAATAAATTCAAGCTAAGATTAATTTAAATTATGGGAGAAGAACATATAAAAAGAAGTTTTGTGAATAAAAAAAGTTCAGCAGCACCCTACTACTGACATTTATGAGCTGTCAAATCTCATATGGTACATACTGGAATTGCTACTCTCTGATATTTTAATGTTTTTCTTTGGAAATTTTCTTTTTGGGAGAGAAAGAGCTACCCTTACCAGATTTCACCAGATCTGATATTTTTACTGATTAGCAGAATGTGTCATACGACCAGCTGCAGACCAGGACAGCTTTAGCTCATGCCAATATGAACAGGTCTCTGGGTAGCACCCATGTTAATTGATTGCTTAGTATAGCTCAAGGTTCATTTTATTTTCTTTCACAGATAAGCGAGGGTTGCATTGGCCATGACAAGCAGCAAAGCAAAGCAAAAAGATAGCTACCTACCTGTGTCATCTAGTCTGTTTTGCAGCTTACCTTGTAGTAAAAAAGGCTCTCCATGTGTAGACGGGACATACACAGTGATGGTCAAGATGGTTAGCACTCCAAGGAACAGCTGGACAGACCACATCTTCTCCACGTTCCCACCACCCAAAAGCATTCTTCCTTCAGGCACGGTGGAGGACTTCAATGCAACCCAGTGCCAGATGAGCTCACTTTTAAGAGGCAGTGGATGTGCTGTGATTGCAAATGGCCTTTGGAGGAGGGGAGAAAAATATCTCTTGAGATATAATTCAACCTGTCAATATGATTCACTCCTTTGGGAGTGGACAGAACAACCCAGTAACGGATGTCAGATGGAACCTGTTCAATACATCTCATATCAGACTGATCTAATGAATTCTGATGTTCCCACAGGCATGCACTGTCCACGCACATTGATATACATTCCATACGTACATACATTAAAAATATTTTTTCGGGGCTGCTGCTTTAATGATGTTCAGACATGAGGACTCCCACATTAGCAAGGAAGATTTGTCTAACGTTCAAGTTGCCGTATGTCATCAGTTTGGACAGAATCAGGTTAATGGGTTTTCGTAATTTATCATCTCACTTCCTAGTGCCTATATTAATTAATGTGAGATATAATGAGTGCTGAAGTGGTGGGAAACAGAGGGGGAGAGCTCTTTTCATTTGACTGATTGGAGTATGTTGAGTGTGTCTTGCTCACCGTGACTTATGCCTTTGTCAACGGGAAAGGCATCACACCCTATTTTGGGATTATGTCTGAGTGGGGGAGTGCAGATTTGGCAGCAGCTATGGAATACATCAAGGATGGGCAACTGTCTTCAGTTTTTTTCTTGGCGAAAAAAAGAAGTGGAAGGTCAGATGCTGGTTCTGGCTACACAGCCATATTTTATTAGTTGAGAGTGAAGTACTGAGGCACATCACACACATTCCATGTCTTCTCAGGTCATGACTACAGCTTGGTTTGGCTTCTGTTTGCTGCCTGTCCATCACTATTGATCAGGGACCTGCTACTAGTCTTCTGTTACAACCTTACCAAGAAAATTAGTGTAATAGTAACAGTGCTAAACTTCGTTCTTCACTTCTGCTTCTTCTGCAGAACTGAATCATCTGTACTACACTTTGGTCAAGTTCTGACTTGTACATACACTCCTAGTGACTCACTTTGTGTGCTTCTTTGACACCACATCACGCCAGATTACCCAACGTAGCTTCAGCTGACGGTACCTGCACTTCATCTTAACTAAAAGACAATATCATTTCCATGTTTGGGCATTTGGCTTCTGGTCCCCAGCCCTCCCTACAACTTGCTGTGCACCTTGGATAACTATAGAATTACTAGCCTTTTAATATCCCTTTTAATATTTACTTTTTACTAAAAAATGGGGGAGGAGAGGCTCAGATTTTTTGCAAGAAGTGCCTATGAAAATGAGTGTGATGCTTCCATTAAGGAATACTTCTCTACTGAGGAAATATTCCAAAATTTTCCCTGCAGATATAATACGTACAAATAAACCAAACTTATCTTTTCCCTCAGTCTTGTGAACCAGTGGTCAACTCCCCGTCTTCACAAAGTTCTGTTTGGACTGAAGGACACCTATGTCCTACTGGGAACACTTTTACAGCCACCTCTGTCTCCCTAAGCTGCCTGTTTCAAACTGGTCAGAGGTGAGCAGCCCCATGAAGCAGAGGCCATAACTTGATGAGCACCACCTTGCACAGGAGTCCCAGGTGGGCAAGAGTAGCTCTGACTTAAAACTATATTCTTAAGGGAAGGTCAGGTCCATTTTTACTTGGTATTAATTGGCTTTCCAGGTCCCTACCAGTCTGTCTTGAGATCTGCTGTGAAATTGTTTTGCCTTGATACAGAAGGTGGATTTCTCCATCTCATATAAGTTTATGCAGAATCTACAGATCTCTGACTATTTTTTCCTACCCTTGGCTATAAGGCATCATGGGTTATTGGCAGGCTGTTTCAGGAAGATGAGTTATTCCCTGGGATTTCCTCTTTCACTGTGGAGAAACTTCAGTTCTGCGTCACTGCAACTGTTCAGCCCCCAAAGCAACTCACATATAGAGTGTGCCAGTCCTTTCAAGTGAGGGCCCTGGTGAAGGTGAGGGACTGCCATTCTCCATTTACATACTAGAAGGGAGATTACTGGATGCTGCGGGGGTTGGATGCTCTCAGTGAGTGGGTGGGTGGGTGGGTGGATAGATGCCCAAGAGCCACTGCCAGATGCTAGTGGACTTTTTGCATTTGTTGCAGTTACAAGATGGTTGATTCGCAGTTGTTGGGCTTCTGTAAGTTTCCCACCTGGAAAATTCCTTTGCTTTTAGCCCATTTGTCCAGGTGCTGGAAATACTATTACATTTTATTGTTCTTACCTATTTTATTCTCAATAGGAAAACAACATAAGTCTCCATATTCTCCCTATTACTTCACTCAGTGATAATGTCTTCCACATCATCCACCGAGCACTTGTGTCTAGAACTCAAAGATAGTGAGAACACGAAGATGCGAGCTCCATCTCTACCTCCCATAGTCCTAGTCTGTCTAAGCCTCTTTGTGCAGAAGTTTCTCTTTTCATAAAGCTATACAGACTTCAGGTAATCAAACACAATCAAACTGGAAAATTGGCAAGGGTGGACAAAGCCGACCAGTCCAGAGGGCAGTAATGGAGAAAACTTGGCCCAAGCAGATGCCACTAAACTCAGCTGCACCAGCTCTGAGTGTGAGAGAGATGAGTACATGTGTCAGGGCCCTGAGGGTGTTAACAGTCCTGAGCAGCCTCAGCTGGGGCCTCCACCACCATCTCTGCCCACAGGCTGAGGAGCCCCATTTAAGCTCAGCCCTGGGCTCCTTCTGGTTTTGCCTGAGCTGTGTCGGAAGAATGCTGGTCTGCAGCTCAGCCTGCCTGTGGTCCCTACTGATCTGGAGCCAGACTTGCAGGTTGACTTCCCTGCTTGACCTTGGACATGTTCCATCAGTGTAGACCTGTCTGGTGTTCACTGGGCTGTGTTTGACCCTGGCTGCTATCATCAGGCTTGATTCTGACTAGTGGATTGACTTCCAGCTTGACCCTGGATCTGCCTCGTTGTCAAGGGCTTCCCTGATCCCTGGGACTCTTGACTGAATCTGGCTGCTGTCTCAGGGCCTGCCCTGCTTGCACACCTTGGGATGGGTCCCTGTCCTGCTGGCAGCATCACTGCACTTGGCCTCCTGTTCCCTAGGGAACAGCCTGCCCTTGCTGCTCTCAGACATCATCTTCCTCAAAATGTTCAGCTTCTTTCTGTGCTTAGACTCCTCTGCCAGGTAGACTGGTAGATCTTGGAGTGGTGAAGGCTTTCATGTATGTTATACAAAATCCCAGTTTCTCTGAAGTCACTTTAGGCTTTGCTGTTAGCTGAAATGAAGCTAGGACTGCCTCTAGAAGAGATGCAATCCCCCAATAACCTTAATTTTGTTTAACCCCCAAGCAGTAACCCTTACTGTTTCAGAGTAAGACTTAGACAAAGGGAATACAGTTTGGGTTTTGAGTGAGTTGTAAGATGCAGGAGGCAGTGTTGAGCTGCTGAAAGCAGGAGAACATGAAAGGGTTACTTTCCAGAGCCAGGTTGGAGTGTAAGGTCTGCAGACCACTTTGTATGCTGTACATTTGGGGTTTGGAGTGAGAGAGGATATTCTCTTATTTTCCAGAGCTTCCTGAGAACACATGAAAACATCACATGCATCAGGTATTTCAGGTGAGCCTCAACAGCATCCGTGGGCTTTGCCATGGTTTTATGGTCTTCATTTAACCATAATTTGCTTGGTTCCAAAGCAAACAACCCATTGTGGGAGGCCTTGTCAGGGAACAGCCTTTACTTAAGGCTGGGAGAAAGGGCATATGAACTGTCCTGCAACCTCTGCACCAAGGATGGGACTTGGCTGCAACCAGGTAGTCTTAGCTGGTAGAGACAGGATTTTATACTGTGCTGTACGTATGGGGAGACTCATGTATCACTGTTTTCTTGCCTCGAGTATTTCTAAGAATAAGATGGGGGGGGGGGATGACAAAAAAGTTTGGAAATGAGGAGAGGACGTGCCTTGTAGAGGGAAAGGCAGGGTAGGGGCTTGGCAGCCCTGACAAAGCAGGGAGACATTGGTGAGCTTTTAGTAGGCAAGAAAGGGGAGCTGCCCTCACAGCAGGGATGAGGTGAGCTTCATACACAATGTCAGATAGGCAGGAGTCATCTTGCTCCCCATCCTGGGCAGTGACTTAATGTACCCCCCCTGTCCCACCATGTGCCTCTATGACCTCTGTCTATTCACATGCCCAACAAACTGTTTCCACTTTCTTTAGCCAAGTCCTTTCTCTCTCTTCCATAGTGTCTGCCTTTCTTGCCTATATCACCGTTGTAGACCTGACACCATCTGTCTCTTCTGTGTTCCTATTGCATCTATCTGCTCCTCTGTCTCCAACTGTGCTTTACGTGGTAGGAATCAGAGTAGAAGGTACTGAAAACCACCCTGTCCTCTTCAGCCTTCATCCCTTACATGTTTATTATCTGATTTCTCCTCTGACTGTGTCACTCCTACCCTGGGGCAAATTTGAGAGAACAAAATCCACCCTAGTCCCGTTATTTAAAGCACCACTGGAAGGCGCTCAGATACTCTGCTGATGTGTGGTGCAAAGTCCCTGACAGAGCAGCTTGACTGCAGAAAGGAATTAAAATATTGTGCACATAAGCCAGCAGAGCAACCACCCTCGCATCTCCCCGAGAGGAGGGAGTGCGTAATGGGGAGGGACATATAGTTATAAAATGAGATTCTCTGTTCCTTAGGGGACTGTTAAAACCAGTCAATATTTATGAAGCTTTTAGTCTGACTCATGCAATTTGTTCCCCCTTCTACGTGATTGTCTTCAGGACCCAGCTGTTGCTTGGCCTGTTACTGCCATAAAATTAGATGCTACGGTTTAACTATCCTTGCTTAGAGAAAGAAAAGGGAAAGGTCCAAGGCAGAGTGTAAAACAGCTCAAGTTGCCACCTCACTGCAAGCAACCAAGGGAGCATGCAAAGGGAAGCATCACCAGCTCCCATCAGATGGGCATCATACTAAAAAGAAGCAGCTCCTCGTGGTTAAGGTGGTGGAGGGTAAGGATGCCTGCCTGGCTTTCACATCCACGCTGGGGGCTGTCAGAAAACCATTCAACTTCTCAG